ACCCTTGAGCCCTCAACCATGGTTTTGAGGCCGGAGTTGAGGAAGTACTTGGCTGAACAGTGAACTGAGACAAGCCCCAGATCTCCATAAGGAAATGCCTCAAGGCCGGAGGGTTTTAAGTGCTCACTCGCTGTAGCTAGTTTGATTGAACTTGTGTGTCTTTGTTCTTCACGGAGACAGCGAGAAACTTCAACATGGCACATGCGGACAAGATTTTTGTTGCAGGTGTGCAAACAGCATCTTGTCTTGGGCCATGGGTTTCATGACTCTCCCAACTAGGTTGAGGCCATTAGCAACTATAGTAACTAGTGGGCCCAGTGGGCAGGAAAAAGCGCTTGAGACGAGGCAATTCTCTATCCACCCAGAGGTAGATGTTCGAAGGCGGGTGACAGGATGATCAGGTGACCTCAAAGACTTCCCTCTTTCCACTGTCCTGTGCAAAATGGCGTCCGGTGTTCGGAAGACCACAGGCTTCCCTATGATTTCATGTCGACTCTTGATTCAGAAATGAAAAACAGACATGGATTGTAAGAGCTGTCTCACATACAAACAAAGAGCATGATTAGCAAGGACGAGGACGCTACTAGGCCATCGCTCTATTCGGTGGACGACGGAGCGCGACGACCGAACGGGGCGCTCCTCCAGGGCGAGCAGGCCTTGGGCACCGGCGTCGTGGTGCCCTCCGCCGGGGCCCCCGTTGGGTGGCCGTCGGAGCTGACGTTCGTCGCGCTCCGTTCACCGCTCCGTTCGCGTCGCGATGCCCCGAAAGGCTCCGTTCGGTTCGCGTCCGAACGCTCCTAGTAGTATGGCCAGGAGCCCCTAATAGCTTCTTGCTACTAGTAATGGCCTCCAACCTACAAAAATCAGAGAAGCAGCTTCTAAGACTGAAAAAATTCTGAAACAACCGATTGGGGTCAGATGGTTGAGACTGTTGGATGGGCAACAGGCAAAAGGGCCGACTTTGAAAAGACGAATCGTCGGAGAGTACAAGAAGCTACTAGTAACAAGGACGCTATTACGCTATGAGGTGGAGGCCATCGCAAGTAGGTTGGAGGCCATCGCTTGTAGGTTGATTCCCAACTGCCAGGACGAGAGATACCGAGACAAGCTGTTGAAGGCAGCCAAGTCCTTAGTCAGCCAAAAGCTTGGAAAGCCAGGTCAAGGAGGTCAAGAAGAATACTAAATTAATAAAATAAATTAATAGCGAACCTTGTTACTACTAGCAAGGCACTTGTTACTAGTAGCGATGCACTTGTTCCTAGTAGCAAACATTGTTACTAGATGGGAACCCTTTGGTCAGGAAATATCGAGGTCTCGCTGCATGGAGCGGTTCACCTTAGCAGAGTCCTTAGCAGGTTTGGTGGGAAAACATGTCCAGACCAGAACGTGTGGACCAGATGGTGTGGAGAACGGTCGAAGTAAAGAACACGACTGACACATGGTATAAGGCAATCTGGCGCCTGACATGATAGCATAGAATGTGCAAGTTGCTGATATTGTTGAATCGCGGGATCCCTGGAGCTTGATCCATGAGACTTCTAGCTCACAGAGGTTTGGCCGCTGCCCAAACGGTTCCTTGGGGAAGCATCCCCTTCTCTGAGACCGAAGGGTTCCAGCTAAATCTCATCAATCTGAAGAGCTTTCTTCTCGTCTATTCAGTCTCCTTCCAATCCTTTTAGGTTCCCTTGTGCTACTAGCAGCATTTCGGGCCTCGCTACGGCGAACGGAGCGCTCGCTCGGACAATCGCTACGAACGGGGCTCCTGGCATCGCCACGAACGGAGCAAGGACGCTACTAGGAACAAGTGCATCGCTTCTAGTAACAAGTGCCTTACTAGTAGTAACAAGAAGCTACTAGGGGCTCCTGGCATCGCCACTAGGAGCAAGGACGCTACGAACGGAGGCCCCTTTCCACATCGAACCCCGCCGACTCGAGGCACACAGCCGGATCGGAGCGGTGACTCCGTGCGGTCTGCCGCCGGTCACCACGCCACGTCGGAGAGACGCACAGGTCGGGCCACGGCCGCAAGGGGCGGGTCAGTCGGTCTTGGCGAAAAAGACGATGGCCTCCAACCCAACCTAGTAGCTTCTTGTTACTACTAGTAAGGCACTTGTTACTAGAAGCGATGCACTTGTTCCTAGTAGCTTCTTGTGGCCAGGAGCCCCTAGTAGCTTCTTGTGACTGGTACTTCTTTAAAAAACAATCCTCTTTTGAGTTACTAGGAATGGCCTCCAACCTGGTAGAGTTCGCCTCCACCTGGTAGCGGATGAAAAATGTTGATAGCGTCATTGTATCCCATGGTTTTTCGTTCGGATTCATTTCATGGGAGAGAGAGAGAGAATGACTTGGATGCAGGGGATCCACCTGTTGAATGGTTGGAGTCTTGTTTTCTTATGTTCTACATCCATTGCTCTCAGATGCTGGAAACTGCCTATACTTCAGGCCCTTTAGATGAGATCCATTTGCAGCGTTTCATGGCAGAATTAGTGGGTCTCTTTGGATATCTTTGGATATCTTCCACATCCATCTGTCTTTCCAAGTCTCGAAAAAGAAACAGGTCTGAAGAAAAGGGAGGAGAACGGAAAAGAACAAAAGGAAAGGACGCTACGGAAAGGAAAGAACATCGCAAGCTTGGTCAAACTCACCAAGCTCCCGCAGGTGAGAGATGCTCGACGAGGCAGACTGAGCAGCTCACAAGCCGGTTGTTCAGACTGAACGACTTGGGGCCTTCTGAGTGGATATGACATCATGTGTGAATATGTGGGGTGTAACAGGGGCAAGGACGCTACTAGGGGCTCCTGGCCTTACTACCAGGAGCAAGGACTCTACTAGCGGCTCCTGGCCTTACTACCAGGAGCAAGGACGCTACTAGCGGCTCCTGGCCTTACTACTAGGAGCAAGGACGCTACTAGGGGTTTTGTTTTCATGGAGGAAGTTGAAGAGATCATTGTATGTCGTGTGTTCCGATGCTTTTGGAATGGTCCCATGTTCTACTTCTGATGTCCATTGATGCTTCGTGCGCAGAAGGTGTTATCATTACTTTAAGGTGTTCGTTACTTTTAAGTGTTTATCGTGGTGTCAACCTTTGTCTTCGCTGTAACACACAGGCAAACACAGCTGACCAAGAGACGGGGACACCTTCGCTCTGTGCTGGGAGCCCCCCCTGTAACCTGGCCGTCCAGAAGCCTGCTGCAACAGATCATGGTGTTTTGAGATGCAGACCTCTGGTCGCCTCAACGGTTTGATCCAGATATGGTGAACATGTTGGACAGCTTAGGAACGCACAAATAACTGGACCCTTCCACCATGGGGAGGTGTTTTCCGAAGCGAACGAACCACCAAGACACAGAGATCTTTTTGGATGTGGACAACTCGAAGGCTGGCTTCATATTTAGAGCTCCAGTAAAGGTCAAAGGGAACACAAAGGGAGGGTCCAAAGGTAGAAAGAAAGGACACAAATTACAAAGAAAAAGATGGGTTTAAGGGAGTAAAGTAAGCTTCAACAACAAAAACAGAAAGGTCTAAAGGACTAAAAGTAAAAAGCACAAGAAAAGAAAGAAAGAAAGAAAGAAGGTCTATATAGGGCTAAGAGTCCAATTCCCATCTGAGAAAGCTAAGACTGGTTACACCTCAGGTCTGAGGTAGATGTGGGCACAGCTGGAAGTGCATTTCAGTTACATAGCCCCTGCCTCCCTTCCAGTTTCCAGCGGTGAAAAGAGAAACATCAGAATCCAATCCGCTGCATGGCCATCTCTCCACGCCTTGTGTCACAGCCTGGACACCCCATCTGACCAACTGCTTCGGGCTGGGGTATGAACCGGTGACATCGAGACAGGTGGCGCCCAGCAGGGACCTCAGTGGACAGCTTCTTCTGTGTTCTCGCGTTTCCAACGCGCAGCTGGTGGCCAAGGAAAATCTTGAAAAGGATGAAGAGCCACCAGGATACATGCTTGTAGTTGGTGTATTCTGGAAACGAATGTGGTCAGTTCTTCATGATTAAACTTGAGGATGAGTGTTCATTTTGCAGGTGATGATCGTTTGCACATCAGAACACTGGGAGTCGGTAAAGGTGCTTCGTCAATGCTGACCTCCAATGACCGCCGGCCTCCACATACATCCACATGCAGAGTGGGTTCTGTGTCGAATTGGAGGCCATTGCTACTAGGTTGGAGGCCATTCCTACTAGTAACTCAAAAGAAGATGGTGTCGAATTGGGACTCCACATCAACTTCACTCCCTTGAGACCAAGCCGATGGAACACATGAACACACTGCGAGTGCGGTCAACACCAGGGGACAGAAGACCGGTCTCTTGACTGACCTTGGGCTGGGAATGACCCATCATCCGAGGTGCCAAAACACCCTTGCTACGTTCGTAGCGATGCCCTTGTTACCGTCCTTGTTCCTAGTACGGGTAGTAAGGCCAGGAGTCCCTAGTAGCGTCCTTGCTCCTAGTAACGATGCTTTTGTACCAGTTGGCTTCCGACACGACTGGACTAGTTTCGAAAGCTGTCACAGTTCAGGTCGGCTCGCTAAGCGACGCACTGAGCACCTGCCTTCGGCGTCCGGGGCAAGAGGCCCTGGTCGCGCATTCGGTGGGAGATGTCCCTGAGACTTTGGCCACTGTCCAAGCGATGCCGGCAACATTTGCACCTGAATGATGTCCCCACTTGTCATCTTTCTTTCTCTTTTTTGATCGATGAAATCTACTGTATAAACACACATATAACTTTTCCATCAAATGATCCAGAAAGAAACCAGATTCTGAGACAACCAGAGATCAGGCTGTGGTCCTCCCGCCGGATCCTTCGTCATGCTGGAAAAAGAAAAAGAGGATCCGTTGCTGAATGAGGATGAATGTACAACTTACACAACCTACTTGCGATGGCCTCCAAACCTACAGGCGATGGCCTCCAACCTGAGAGTGCAGATGTGAGGCCACGACGCTTCCAGCTCCAAGTGGTCCAGCGCAAATGTACAACCAAGTGATCCAACGCGTCCGGCTCCAGATCAGATCCCAAACGCGTCCATGATCTCAGCGTCCCGTGGAATGTGGCGGTTCGATGTCACGTTCGGCATCTTTGGACAGAAACGGGCCACCCGGAGGAAGAGTTTAAAGACGGAAGAGGTTCCAATGAGCATGCACTTGGAACCTAAAGGTTGAGAAATTCCTGCGCTTCGACAGTGAGGTGATGTTGAAAGTGAAATTGGTTTAGGAGTGAACTTGGAGGATGGATATGAGTTGCTCATCGGAAATAGGATGACGTAGAGTGCCTTACTTTAGTCACTAGTCCGGGTTTTTGCAGGGCGGTTTGTTTGCAAGCTTGAAGGCCTTGGAAACTGGGTGCTACGATTTGTTGGTGCGAAGAGAAAAGAAAGGTCTAAAGGTTCAAGAGAAAGAAAATAACAAAAAGAAGAAACTAAGAGCGATGGCCTCCAACCTACTAGCGATGAAGAAGGGTCTAAAGTCTAAAGGTTGTAAAGAAAGAAGGAACATAAAAGAGTTATGCTGACATGGATCGTGAGAATAACCCTAAGAATGATCCTTGACTAACTGCTCCTTTCTTTTCTTTTCCTGACCCCAGCGCTAAATCAAGGTTTTGTTTTTCTTGTTTTGCTCAAATTTTCCTCATTATCATATGTGTTTCGAAGGGATTAAGCACAAAAACTATTGACACGTTCAGTTGAATCTCCTCGAATTCCTCGCTTCACTAGTCATCAGCGTGCTCGAACGAAAGAACGGAACACGTTTGCTGAACCGAAGATGGAAGTCGTAAAAGGGTCTCTCAGAAGAGCTACATCAGTGGATAACCCTCAATCGTAGCTTCTTTGCTCCTAGTAACGATGCCAGGAGCCCCTAGTAGCGTCCCTGCTCCTAGTAGTAAGGCCAGGAGCCCTAGTAGCGTCCTTGCTCCTAGTAGTACGGCCAGGGGACACCCTTCTTTCCTTCTTTCGCAACAGACACGTCGAAAAGGACAAAGCGGCAAAGGAACTGAATTCAGCTGCCACCCGCGTGCCTTGCACTCAACGACCTCCACCGAGCATCAATTTAAACGAAAAGAAAATCCAGCCGCACCAAAAAAGAGACTGAGAATATAGAGGAAGCAATAAAAATAAAGCTTTGGGGTCTGCCATGTAGGCCGCTGTGGGCCGCTGTATTACAAATTATGGGATCGCGCGCAGCCAACTGATTGGGGACACCCCACTCATATGGATCTTTTTTCGGAAGTTCGAAACACCATGCTCTCTTGCTTCTAGCTACTAGTAATGCCCTTGTGACCAACGACTGCGATGTTTTCAGATCTCGTTGCTCAAATCGATTTTTCCCCGGTGCCCAACCGGAGTTCTGAGGTGTGACTCCTCTGACCGGACCAGCGCCAGCGTCGCGACGCCAGCGACCCGACGGAGTGGGACCCGATGGAGTGGAACCGGTCGAGACCAGGATGGCGGAAGCAACAGGGGCTCCTGGCATCGCTACTAGGAGCAAGGGCCTTACTACTAGAAACAAGAAGCTATTAGGAATTAACAAGCAACAACCTCATGGTGTTCTCCGGAAGACGGAATTGGGGTGAAAACGATTTCAACTTCGTGTGCCGCCGTTGGGATCGGCCATGTGCGCGCCGTTCTGGTAGGTTTGGGGGGGCCGACCTTTCGCACCTAGGGGCTCCTGGCCTTACTACTAGGATCAAGAAGCTATTAGCTTATTGTTTCTACTAGCTTCTTGTTACTACTAGTAAGGCACTTGTTACTACTAGCGATGCACTTGTTACTACTAGGAGCAGGGACGCTACTAGTAACCACAGGGCTCTCGGAGCTGCAACAGAATTCATCATTTCATGGCGTGCGACGGACAAGCGGATCGTCTTTATGAAAAAACGCGAAAGAAAAGAATGTCGACCCAGCTGTGGCTTGGGGCTCTCCACCACTTCTCCAGCCGTCCTGGTTTGTCCCCAGTCACCCCACCCACTCCGCAGGTCTTTGAGCCGAGCAAATACCCAGATGGGGAGTGCAACTCTGGCCAGCTGACCCATCCCGACTCTTCGTGTGTGCGAAGAGCGTGCCGCCTGCGCAAGCATACACGTCAGAAGATCAAACAGCGGGCACCTTGGTGGAAGGAATGTGGAAGGTGCTGCAGCATGGAGCGTTTGGAGATTGGTTGATGGAACAGGTCTCCGGCACCACCTGTGCTTGGACAAGACTGTGAATAGTTAGCCGTTAGCTATGTGATTCTGCATTTCAATGTGGTTGAGCAAGAACTTTTCCCGGGGACGCCACAAGTTTGAGAGGCTTTGCAGTTTGCATGTGCATTCTTTGTGCCAGCATAGTCATTACAAGGTATATGCAACACGCAGATTATGTGTTGTGACATGTTAAATGGGATTATATATATATATACCTTATGTACCCAATTATATACAACTTGCATCACATATAGTATATAATGGTTTGGCCGTAACAAGTGTGCAGAAAACAAAGGTATGCAACGCAAAGGTTTTTGTTGTTCTAATTTCAGGTTTGTAACAGGTTCATATCAATTAACCATATAGTGTTGTTTTGCCTTACAGGTGGCCCACCACCGTGGTACATAGATACTCCGGTCAGAAGCCATGTGAAAGGCTCTTCGACACATCCTTTCGAACCCTTAAGAAAAGAAGCAGCCCTAAGCATCTTGACGCAAGACAATGGAGGCCAGTAGGCTGGAGGCCATCGCTAGTCGGGAAGCAATGGAAATGGCTTGGTTCGGGTCAGGACCCTTTCAAGGAGGAACCTTCCGCGAAGGTGTCGAGGTCCAAGGATAGGAACTAGAAGGAAGCCCGCCTGGTCCACTGGGGAGTCCAGACCAGTTTGGTATCCGAACCTGAAAATATATCCAGGTCCGGAGCAAAAGCACCAATCCGAAATTGAGGTTCAAACAGAGTAATTATCAGATGATTGGCTTCCGAGAACCTCTTTTCCAAAGTTTTTTTGGTAGGAGGGCATTGTCTTAGATCCGAAATGGCACTTATTTACGATGACTTTAGTAGTTCTGGGTTGCCCACAACTTGTTCATTCAAGACTTCACATCCAAAGAGTGTTCAATATAACTTAGCAGACGGCTTGCAGTACTGTTCAGTTGGATCTTTCTTTGTTTGGCTATCTATGTACCACCTTTTTCCATGGATATTATATGTCATCTAGCATGTTCCAGTCGTTTCGACTTTGTTTGCAGTGTGAATCAATCGAGCTCCACCTGAGATCGGCGTTGTTTAGCCCCAACTGGAGTCGGTATTTTTTCGAGTCCTTCCTTGCTCCTATTAGTATGGCCAGGACCCCCTAGTAGCGTCCTTGCTCCTAGTAGTACGGCCAGGAGCCCCTAGCGGCGTCCTTGCTCCTAGTAGCGATGCCTTTTGCTACTAGTAACTAGTAGCTACCTGTTGCTACTTAGGACTGATTCTTGAAGTGTTCTTGGCTCGTGGAAGGTGTTTGGCCGACCCCAGGTCTTGCGGCTGTTGGGTCAGCGTTCTGCCCAAGCACGCGAAGAATTGCAAGCCCAAGCAGTTAGGACCAGAATTCGCTCGGATGTTAAAAGGGCACTTCCATGAATTCAGAGTTGTTTTCAAGGATGTACCGAAGTCCAGTTCCTTTTCCGTTTTGACACGCGCCGCTGATGCTGGAGAGACGAGACAGCCAGTGGATAGTGCCCGGTGAAACATCATTTTCATGGATGGGAACGCAGAGCTGCATCGTCGCACTTGCGGAAAACCTTTTGAAGAGGCGCGTGCATATGCCCGAACCAAAAAAAGAACTTGTAGAATCTGAAATACATGTGGCTACCAGTCCTTCTCCCTTGCACCTCCCGCATCCGCATGTGCTTGCTGCCTCGGCTGTCCCTTGTGATGGTCCGCGGTTGCTCTGCCAGACCTACCGGCAAGGAGCCGCACCTATGTCGGCAGACACTGTGGCCCTTCGTTTGGTCCAAACTCTCCACGCCACTGACAATGTGCAGCTCGTGGAAATGTTGCGCCACTGCCGCACTTGGCAGCCAGCGTGTACCATGCCGGAAGAGAACCTCACACAGCACTTCGCCAAGCAAGCAGATGCATCAGGCTGTGCTGCTTTAGTGCACAAACGCACCGAGAAGAGCGGGTCGTTTTTGCCTAGCCAATGACATTTCTAGCTTCTAGCTTCTTGGAGCTCTGTCCGCCCAATCTTCAGACCGCGCAACGATAGGATACGATAGGAGGAGGACGGCCGTGAAGAAGACAGGTTGATTTTGTCTGCCATTTGTATGCTGGAGAAGACAGTGGCTTGACGTTGGGAGGGCCTGGAAACCGAGCTCCTCGACTGGCATCATCACGACACGCTTTCGGATGACCGACCGTATGGCGGATTGATCCCTGCTGTCCTCCAAAATCGTTTGAAGGCCTTGGTTGGAGGTCCGCTCAGTTTTGACACAGTACGCTGGGGAGGGGGAGCCACTGCCGAGACCTGTCCGGAGACGGGGAGGAGAAGAAAATGGGGTCCAGGATGTGGAGAGGAAGGGAGGAGGAAGATTCAGGAGGATGACAAGTTGCTTTGGCGCATGTGTTTTTCTTCAACTGCTGCCCGCCGCTGATTTGGAGAGGGCAAGACACCTTCGAGATGAAGTTGCATTTGCACTTGAGCAACCTGCATCTCCACTATAGCATATTACGCGTGAGAGGTAGTCTCTTGGTGTTTCAAGAGAAGCTTCTACATGAAGACGAATGAGAAGGAAACTGTGAAAGGATTCTGGGAGCCTGCAAGATAGGAGCCAGGAATCATGAACATGTTGTCTGGATGAAAACCTCCTGCGCAGTTGCCCCGAGTCACATCTCAGCTAATCTCGTGGTCGGTTTCGAGGCGTGGGAGTCACCAAATTCGACTGGATCGTCGTACTTCTTCCGCTTGGCAAACGCCTCCTTCCCAAACGGCGCCAAGTTGGAGGGCGGCCACCATGCTCATCGATGCCTCAGCCAGCGTTCCTCCTCCGCTGTCTGGCAGTGGCGATGGCAGCCTTCAGGCACACAGCCCACGATGCCCAGGTCTTGGACTGCATGAGTCGACACCCGCAGGGACGTCCCAACGGTGTGTTTGTTTGGTGTGCATTTCATCAGGCCAGCGCGTGCCAGCTAGCGAGTAGTGGTTTTTCAGAACATGGTTTCTTCTGAGCTGCTCTTGTCACACAGCTGGAAGTGGTCTCCAAACTAATTTTAACATGCTGACACTCGGCACGGGCCATCTAAGAGGGCTGAATGCCCTGCGCGCATGCTACGACAAAACTTTAATCAAGCGACGCCAACGGTAGCCTCTTTGGTTTGCGTTGTTCAGATGTGTTCAGAGAACCATGGTGAGTTTTTGGCGCAAATCAGCGGAGCGAGGCCGTTGCTATGAACTAGCTTTGAGGCCTTCGACCTTTGAAGAAACATTTGATAGCATGGACAAGGTGACAAGGTCGGTTCATCAGCCATCAGCTGTTTTCTGGACATAGGATGTGGCAGTTTAATGCTAACGTGATACAATTGCCCATGAGCCGAAGCAGCATTGCAGGGCTCCAATGTTGGGAATACTCCCGAGTGGCTTGAGAGGATGAGTTACCAGAAATGTTTCCAAGAAGACGGGTCAAACGTAACAGTCCGCAAGGGGTGCTCAGGGTCAGCTCTTGCCTAATGAATCCAACAGCCACAGCCCTTGCGGGAGATCCCAAACGGATTTTTCCGCCTGCTTATCCACCCGTTCATCATCTAGAAAACTTTAAGTTGGTAGAGACCGCTTGAGTGCCTTCGTGGGAACAGGCAAGGACGTAGCAAGGCTGTGCAGGGCCTATTTGTTTCGGACGACCAATCTAGCACATGGGAGTCACTTGACCAGTTGGACGTTGGTGTTGAAAAGATTTGGATTGTTGGATCTTGAAACTGGGGGAACTCTGAACGTAGTATGCCAGTCTTTGGACTAGGCTGTGTTTCTCTGGAGGATTTGAATCACAGGGTGACGGACCCTAAGTTCATATTGCGAACTACTAGGGTAGAAGCCTTTGACCCAGCATGGAAAGACCTTGATGAGAGTTTTCCTACTGAGACATCGTATGTTTGCTCAACCCTCATGGTGCTTTGAGAACCGTGGCAAATGTCATTCTCAGTGTCTTTCAAGATGGTGTCGGCAACTCAGTACATTCAAGCCGGATGGTTTGGGATCGTATGGTACCTCACCTCTTGGACCGAATCTGAATCTATGGGACAATAGGTTTTCTTCTTGGGATAACAGGTCCTGCATGTGTTTGTTTCACGTTTTCCGGTCGACGTTGGAAGACGGACACTCATTTTCAGGATGGCACAGATTCTGGCTGTAATCATTTCACAACGGTTGGACTCCTAGGTTTTACCGAAGGTCACTGAGTCGGAGAGAAGTGGTCACCGGAATACGGCAGGATAGCCGCAAGTGGTCACCGTCCGAGTGCCCCATCAATGGTCGTTCCCAATTGCCTTCCAAACCTGGAAGCTGCACAACACCCTGCTTGAAGAAATGCGTTCTCCGCTTCACGGATTCCGCTTCCATGATGGTTGGTGGGGTATCTCTTCGGGTATGCCTCCTCCCAAAACATGGGACTCGGCCACACACCCCACCATGTTGACTGGCCATCCAGGAGTTCCTATGCCCGCCATTTGGTTGACCGCCACGAGAGAAGAGTCGTGGCCCCACCTGTCGCTCGCTCAGAATAGTCAAACCTCTCTGGGGAGCAGCATCGTCAAGTGTTCAACAAGCTGCGACCACTTGTTCCATTATTTTGCTTTGTTACTAGTAGGGATGCTACTAGGTGGAGGCCATCGCTATTCGGTTGGAGGCCATTGCTACTAGGAACAAGAAGCTGCTAGTAGTTATTTGCTAGCTCATGTTCGTCAAGTTCCCTGGGTCGTGACTTTTGCAGACGCCAATCCTTTCGGAATGATGGTTTCGTTTGTGTCTTCGGGTTGGTGTGTTAGGTGTTTTGGGTGACTTGGTGCATCCGATTTCTTGTTTTGTTTGGCTGATTTGTGTGCCGGAGCCCCTGAATGAAGTACTGGGCATTTCACAGCCGAGCAGGATGTCACTTGGCGAAGTTGGAGAAAAGGAAAGAGATATAACTAGTAGCTTCTTGTTACTAGTAGTAATGGCCTCCAACCTACTTGCGATGGCCTCCACCTAATAGCGTCCTTGCTACTAGACAAGGAACAAGCATCAATCAATCAGCAGGTCATCACGTCAAGGAAACACTAGCTGTATGGGAATGTGAAAATCCTGACCATAGCCATATTCTGGAACTTAGACTTTGCTCCGGACAAATCAGTGGTGGGACGACTGGTAGGACTGTCGGATCGTTACTTCGTCGGGTCCTCCCTTCGTGCGCAACTCGCTTCCTCTCGGCGAACTCGAAACTTCGGCACGGCTCCCGTTCTTCGTGTCAAACCCTTCCCCACCAAGAACGGCTCGGTGCTTACTCCGATCGTTCGTTCCGGTTTTTTGGCGCCAAACCCTTTTTTTGCCGAAGAAAAAGAACTGCTAGCTGCTAGCTCTTTCTTTCGAACTCCGCAGCGAGGCCGCCGAGATTGACAAGAAAAAGGTGTTGGCTGAGATTAAGGCGGTCTGGAAACTCAGGAGATTTTGTGTGAGGCCGCTCTGGAGCGGTCGTTCGATCGCTCGAGGATCGAGGATCCTTCGATGTGGGGGCCAATAAGCTAAGAGCGACCTCCAACGATCCTTTCGAGGACGCGAGTTCGCATCACAGGCTTCCAACATTCCAGTGGCAGGTCCTGGCAGGGACTGCCAGACGAAATGGCTGACATGTTTTTTGCTTGCTTCGCACATCAGGTTTCGAGCCTTTTGAATTACCGGGCCAGCAAAAATGCGCAAGCGCCTGAGGCTCAAGTCCTCCTGGTCGGGTCTTGAACAAAGGAGGCTTCAATGAATGAACTGCACATTTCATTCCAAGCTTCGCGTTTTTGGGAGGCCATCGCTCTTTTTGGAGGGCATTCCCACTAGTACCAACGCTACTAGGGGCTCCTGGCCTCGCTAGACGCTACTAGGGGCTCCTGGCCTCGCTACTAGGAACAAGAAGCTACTAGGGGCTCCTGGCCTCGCTACTAGGAGCAAGGACGCCTCAACGCCCTTCTTGTTCCTAGTAGCGAGGCCAGGAGCCCCTAGTAGCGTCCTTGCTCCTAGTAGCGAGGCCAGGAGTCCCTAGTAGGGTTGGAAGTTGGCAAGGTGACACCACCGCAGCCACAATCGCGATCACAAGCAGAATGCCCTGCAGCCACCAAGTCCAGCATACCACCAAACCAGACTTGTGGCAATCAAAGCAGCCAAGCTCAATTGCTCGCTGAAGGACCTCGGAAACAAAGCAGCCCAAACCAAGGGGAAAAGCAATACACTGGACACGGCAATCATTTCGGATTCGATGTCCAGCAAAAGTGCTGGGCTGGTGTCCCGGATGGTGTCCCTTTGTTTCAACGAGCACATCGGCGTCGGCCGCCATCGGTCGAAAGAGGACGGTCAGCCGGCTTGCTACGGGGTCCCCAGGCTGGAGTCGTGGCCTACATACAACGAGTGGTGTGGAGGCCCAATGCATGTCGAACACCATCAGCCACCGGATGAGACTTACCTGTTTGGGATCACCATGGCTGGCTTCTATACACTTGGTCCACTGCTTTTTGGGCTGGTTGTCGTCAGGTCAACATCTGACGACTGGAATCGAACAGTTGCTTTTTCGGATTTGCTCAATTTGTTGACCAGGCTGGTGGGTTGTTGGCTAGTCTTGAGAACCATGGTTCATCCATTTGTTGAAGCATTTGGTCCCTAGTGACCAGAAATGTTTGTCCGGTTTGAGCAGAGTGAGGTTGTCAAGTTGTCATGTGGATTTGGTGATAGGATATGCAGGGGAAGGCTGAAGCAGAATCCAATCAATCAGCTCATCCAACTACACAGGCCACGTGAAGAAGACACTCGGGCACGTTTGGGAGGAAAACTGTCCGACTTGCTCACTACATCACACGAAGACGATTCGTCAACTGACATGCTCTTTCAAGCATAGTAGCTATTTGCGTTTTTGCCATCGCCAATTGCATCTCTCCAGCAACGCTACGGCCCCTGTAGGTTGGAGGCCATCGCTATTTGGGTTGGATTCCATGGCTTTGGGTTGAACACTCTTAGGTCGGAGGCCATCACTCCTAGGTTGGATGCCATCGCTATTCGGTTGGAGGCCATCGCTAGTAGGGTGGAGGCCATCGCTGGTAGGTTGGAGGCCATCTCTCTTAGGTTGGAGACCATCGCTGGTAGGTTGGAGGCCATCACTCTTAGGTTGGAGGCCTTCGCTATTAGGTTGGAGGCCATCGGCTTTTAGGTTGGAGGCCATCACTGATAGGTTGGAGGCCATCGCTAGTAGGGTGGAGGCCATCGCTATTAGGCTGGAGGCCATCGCTCTTAGGTTGGAGGCCTTCGCTGGTAGGTTGGAGGCCATCCCTCTTAGGTGGGAGGTGTCGTCGCCTCTCAGGTCGAGGGCGCGGAACCGCCGGCGGCGGCTGGCGGAGCGCCTTTGCCACCTCCGGCAGCGCCTGAGCGCTTGATGTTTTGGCTTTGATCCCGAGATCGGGCCACAGGACATCGATGTTTGTGGATAGATTCTCATAGATGTTTGTGTGCTACTTGGCAATGCCCAGTCAAACTTGGTGTCCAAAATGTGGACCATCAACAGGAATTGTTGACGATCCCGCAGATGGATCTTTTTCCTCATCAAATCTGGAGGTATGTACTCCCAGATGGACTCTACTGGCCTGGAATGGCCACCCGTGTTGGCACTGAAACTGTCCTTGCGTGTCTCCGTGTCAATTGGCACGGTGAATCACTCTAGCAGTCGGTAAGGATTGTTTGTTGCGCTACTTCTAGAGAAGACTTTTATTAATCATCCACTGCTACATCACCAAGCAAGGCCAGGCAGTGCCAGAGGTTTAGAGCGTTTAAAGCTCTGAGACGCCCTCATAAGGCGAATCGAAATCTATCTGATGGCACGACGCACCTTCTAGTGGACCGCCTTTCGGAACAGGTCCAGGTGAGATCTGTGCTGAGACCCATTCCGCCGTGAGAGCCTGGCCTGATATTCTAGACCGATGATCTGCGGCCTATGCTTGTTCTCCCCAGAGGTTTTGAGGGGTTCATAAAGCAACACCGGTGTGGTTTCATACCTGCCAGAAGCCTGAAACATGTCTTGTCCACTAAAGAACCACCCTTGGAGCCGCTACTTCGGGGTGTCAGCAGGCGAAGCGGGCCATGGCCACTCCCCAAATAATTCCATATTCTTTCACATCCTTTCTAGAACTTCCGCTACTAGGTTGGAGGCCATCGCTACTAGCGTGGAGGAGGCCATCACTATACTAGGGTG